CTGGCCAACTCGCTTGTCTGGCCAACTCGCTTATCAACTACGTTATATAGCTATATAAATTTAGCTAATTATAGCGATAGTAATTATAAGCCTTAATTAACTTACTATTTCAATGTATAAGTATTTTGTACTAGTATCTTTCAATTATTATAAGATCACAATGGTCTACTTTAAGAGGTCAACTTCTGCGCCGTGCCACTTTGAGATACTGACAAATTCGGAAGAGACTCAACACTCAGCAATCTCCACACTATATAACGTCCTGAGCCTGCTTGCGCATCTGCTTGCTCGAACAGATACTTCTTACTACCATGAACTTCGCCATTCTATTGTGGGGCTTTCTCCTCTCTCAAGGTGTTTCGGCCTTACCCATTAGTCCGCATGACCGAGACCCACAAGGAGTTCGCCTAGACATTAGAAGCAAAGACGAATGCATGGAGTCGAAAAATATATATCAGTTTATGAAGTGTTTTTTGGTAGACAGTCAGTCACAGACATGAGAGTTAGACCAACCTCGAAAGGGGTTAACGATAAAGATCAAACAGCAAGCGCACTACTTCTTTCCAAGCACTCCCAAAAGGACCGGTCGCGCGGCATACAGATAATTCCACTGCTCAGCTATCAAGCTCCACTAATGGCGGCATAAACTAGATTCAGGTCGTGTCACTAAGAGTCTAATCATGATACCTTGAGGGAGGTTGGCAGGAGAAAGGAGGCAAAATGAAATCGAACTTTGAAATCAAACAGATTACTCGCAAAGACATAATATAGCAGGTTTATATCAACATAGCTAAAATAGAATTTTGCTCAAGTCACGCCATTTGCTCTCCTCGGCGTACGCATCGTCTCCATTTCCATTACTTCTTAACTTCGGTTGACAATGTCAACTCTGCTGTGAGTGATATCTGTAGTTCAGTGCTAGCTTTGGTTACAATAAGATTAAAGAAAGATCGAAGTGATATCTTCGTCATTGACTCTACAAAGATGAAGGTCTACAAGAAATAATTAACTCTGTACAGCTATGCGTCAAGAGTTTATTCACATCGTACATCAGGAGTCT